CTTCCCTGCGCTCCCCTCTCTGGGACGCTTGTGACAGCAGGGCAGGAGGGCTCGGGGTGCTGGCGGCTCTGAGGCCTTAGAGGTTTTTCTCTTTGGTCAGGGAACGCTGCCTCTTCCTCCTCAGGCCTTCCTGGAGTGCTCGAAACGTCCCGCGACAGCGCTGCCAGAATACCTCGAGTTCTGAGGGCCAGTTCACTCTGAATCTTTAGCCTCGTAACCCGCAGTTCTGTCATCTCAGGACTCCACCAACTTTATGCAGTACATGTTTTCCATTTGGCAAATGGCACAGAGCAAATTCTGCTGTGCTGAAACTTTCGCTGTGGGTTTTTTTTCTTCACCTGTCTCTCCCGCTGCGCAGTCTGGCCTGCTGCATTCTGCAGGTGGTGGTTGGCTGCTCCATGTTGGTGGCCGTCCCTTGGTGCCACCCTGAGCTAAACAGAAGAGGAATGTATCCCCACAGCGCAGTTCCTGAGCCAGTAGCCCTCCATGCCTGTGTTTCTGCACTGTGAGGTTGTGCGGAGCAGAGGGTGTGGGTGCGAATGGCTTTCGGTGCTGACATTTCCGCTTGTCCGTTAGATTTGGGCTGCTTTCTTTGCTTACCTGAACCATATGCTCTGCCCTATCCCATGCCTGATACAGCATAACGCCTCTCGGGTTGGGAACCAGAATGGAATACGTGGGGTTTTCGGAGAGGCATGGGGAGTTTTTGGGTGCGTGTGGCTCTCTGTGTATGACTGGAGGTGTGAATCACGCAGGGATTTCAAAGGGTTTTAGAGGGCAAAGCAAAGATCTCGATCCCTGAGGTGGGGAATAAAGACTGCCTCATGTGATTAAATGCTGTCAAAACAGGATTAAGTCCTGAATTCAACTCAGGTTTTAAGGGCAACGTTAACTGGCTAACATTAGACCCCAACATTATTCTGATAAACCTTGCAAGTAAGAATCTGCCTCAAGTTCTGCAAGTTTGTTTTTCCTCAAACAGTCGTTTTCATGGTTTCTTTTTTCATCAGAAGATAAAGAAGTAGAACTGGGAGCAGATGCCTGGCATGAGTGAAAGCTTGTCTTAACTATGGGTGCTGATAGCTAGTTGCACAAAAAAGTAGTTTTTTCAGATTTTTTTTAAAATGTTTTCTTTAATGTACCGTTACTTCTCTGACTGCATGAGAAACAATGGCTGCTCCCTCCTGCCATGTCCTCTGAGGCTTTATAGAATGGAGTGTTGATTGATCGCTTCTTAAATTACCGTTGTAAATTAACTTTTGCTGCTTGTGCCTTGCAGAGCAGGATCAGAACCAGGTGCCAAACCCACGCCTGTGGGTCCGTATAGAGTCCTTGCTGTGCCAGCAGCGCAGCGGGACGTCGCTCCGCTTCCTCAATTGATATAGCAAGATAGATGCACCAAGTTTCCTGTCTGGTTAATTTATTAATATTTGTTCTGACAGAAAATCTGTAAATGTTCTGGTTGGATTCAAAAACGAAAGCGTGGTTTCTCATATGAATTCCTTTAAACTTGCAGGGCTTGTCGATGAGGCAGATTAGATTCAGATTTGATGGACAACCAATTAATGAAACAGACACACCTGCACAGGTACGAAAAATACTTTCACTACAAATTGCTATACAAATATCTTGATGTCTGTGTGCGGATCAAAGGGGTTTGAAATCAAAACGATTCTGAAATAGTTGCTGTAAGTTTAGTGCGTTCCAAATTTGTCTAGGGTGGGATTTTTTTATTTTTTATTTTTTTGCCTTGAATGTTTTAACTGTTGTGGGGCGGAAGGAAAATGTGTAGGTGCTGAACAAGCCAGCACTGGAGTGGCGGTGTGGGAAGGACCCATGGCAAGTGCTGTCAGTTTCGGCTCTGTCCTACTTCTGTGTCAGCCTGTTCAGAGCCAGCAGTGAAGCTGCAGTTGGCATCGACGCTGGCAGTGCCGGGAACGTGGAGAGTTTCTTGGGCTGGCAGGGAAGAGAGGAGATGCTTGGCTGGGTGGTTTGTTGTAGAAGATGCTAAACTGCCACGTTTGGTCTGGCTGACAGGCGTGCCTCCGAAACCCACTTCGGTGTTGGTGGTACTCCGATGGGAGAGACGCTGGAGCGTGCACTTGGAGTGACTGACAGAAAGCGTTTCATGCGTTAATTAAAATGACACCTTAAGTGCTCTGTTACTGGTACTGGTTGGGAGCAGAGAGCTAAGTGCTTTTGTAACGATGAGGTTGTGTATTTCAAGTCTGGTATTTTCCATATCTGTTACTCTTAACAGCTGGAGATGGAAGATGAAGACACTATTGATGTGTTCCAACAGCAGACAGGTGGAGTGTGCTAAGACGTGCCGTCCTTCTGAGAAGAGGAGTTTAAGGATCCTCATCGCACCTCACTCTCATCTGTCCTTGGATTTGCTATTAAATAGTAAACGAATGAACATGCCAATCACATGGGATTCTTCTCAACTTTAGAGGACATTTACCAAAATTGCTTGTTGTCTTTGACGTACTGCGTGTGCAAGTCAAAACAGTATCTGCAGGGATTAATCTAGATCTTAAATTGGGCCAATTTGATTTAAGTTCAGATTAAGTAATATGCGTTGTCTCTCTGCTGTTATCTTCTTCTTTTTTTCCTTTTTTTTTTTTTTTTCTTTAAACCTGTGGCCTAAATATTCATCCATGTGTTAGGACATGGAGTGTTCATTCCTGGCTCTTGTCGGTCTTGCCCCTCTGGTTTAATTCTAATCATGTAAATAATTCAGTATATTTTCATGCCAATCGTGAGCATAAAAGTTTCCTTTTAAGATATGCCTCGGGGAAGGAAAAGAGAATGAAGTTTTTAGATTTGAAGATTTTAGCGCATGTTGCGAACACAGTTACTTCAGGAGCTGTTAAGCCTGTGACACAAGGCCGGTACACGCAGATACAATGCTTAGTCTAGCGTTGGAGTTTAAAATATTGCAGATTTACATGTGCTTTGTCATATTATGATGAAGTCATCGGAAATATACTTTTTTAATGCAGAAATTAGATTTGGCCTGAATTATTGTCAGAACCGGAGTTAGCAGAGCAGCTGGTCCAAAAAACTTAATGCTCGTGATAGAGCAGCAGTATTTTTATGTTTGTTGTTGTCGTGGTCGTTGTTGTGCAAGCTTATAAAATGAGAAACCGGTCACTGCAGCCTCAGCCATGTGCCGGGCAGAACCCGTCGCTGCCTTTCTCCTGCTCTGTTTCTCAGTTGGTACTAGAAGTGTGCGGCCTCAGGTTTCTTTTTAATAATTGTTTTTGGTAGATAAACTTGCTCTATAAATGAGGAGCGGGTGAAAAGGAGAAAAAAAAAAAAAAGCCTTTTAATGTCCCCAAGGTGTATGTGCAGAAGAGCTGTCAAGACTCTGGTGAGCACGGAGGGAGATGCACGCGTGTGTTTGAAAAATAGTCATCTGCTCTACTGCCTCCCCAAACTTCCCAGGTTTTAAAGGCACTTGTGTGCTGGGGTTTGAGCTCCACGCGCGGTGTGGGGCTGTTGAGGTGAGTTTTTGCCATGGCCACCCTGTCACCCTGTGGTGGATGCGTGCCCCGAGACCCTTCGCTCCCATTGGATCACCTCCCGCTTGCCGGAAAGGCCCTTATTTTTTATTTTTTTTTTTTTTTATCTTGTCTATGGGCCAGGGTGGGGGGTCCCGTAGATCTCATTGTTTATTCACCGATTTGTACATTTATTTTTTGTCCTTTCCTATTGTATACAGTAAATATAGTTTGGTACTCTGTCTCCTGCCTTACCCTTCCTCCGCCCGCGCTCCCCTCGCCGTGGCCTGTCCTCGGTGGACGCTGCAGCCACCCTTCAGACATCCACCTCCAAGACTCCGGAGGCAGCACAAGCACCCGGCCCCCTATAAATCCCGCGGTCCGCACTGCACCCCCAGTTTGCACCTAATTTTCTCCGCATGATATGACTTTTTGCACTCTTTTTCTCTCTCTCCCTTCCCCGTGAAGCGGCTGTAGTTTCTCCCTCCGCTTCTGCAGCCTCTTTCCTAAAGAATCACCACCGGGACCGCCTGTTTCACGCTGCCCTACTTCAGAGTTTTGGCTCTGAGTTTTCCCTCCCGGGGAGTGTGCCCGGCGCTGCGCACGGCCGGCGCCGCTCTGCGCATGCGCGGCCTCGGTGCTCGGAGGACTGGCGGCGCACCACAGAGG